CCTTCAGTTTCATGGAATGAAGAAGGAAAAAAAAAGGCTTTCAGATTTTTGTACAACAGCCTGCTTCTAGTCCCCTTCCCCCAGGAAAGGGCTTTGCATGTGCAAACCACAGGGTACTACTGCTAAAGCATTGCCTTCTTCTAAGTCAAGTCCCATGAGTATACAAGGGTAATGATGACAGCAAAATCCAGTCTACACTCTCACTTTCTGTTGCAAGTAATTTTCAGTGACAAAAATGAGGTCACTAGATCACTTTCTAAAGCTTTAAAGTAAAAAATGCCATCCCCCTCCCCCCTTTTTTTTTTTTAAGTTGAGGTTTTTGGTGAACCGAGCCTCTGAGAATTTCCTGTGATGGTATGCACTGAAATGCAAAATGGAATGGATTTGCTGAAAGCAGCAACTAAGCAGACCATTTGAAAGAAGCATCTCACCTTCCTCTCTGCCCATATTGGGGCTTTTAATGTTTAGTTGCTGGTGTTCATAACAGCACCGCTTTTGATCCATGAGGCCAAGGGGAAGAGCTTGAAAGTTCTTTTTTGCAGCGGCTACTGACAACCTGCCCCACCAACTACTGGGGTTTCTATGAGATACTTCAAGATAGCCAGACATTAATATTTCCCAAACTCCAATCTTCATAGCAGCCCCCTACAGGCTCAAAACCAAGCTCAGGAAGGCACCAACACAGAGTGATGGGGAAGTCCTCAAAGCAGCCTGAGTATCCTAAGCAACATATAGCTTGCTAGGCCTTGTGGCCACTCTGACATGCTCCCTGTTGGTGGATGAGCAGTGTCTCCACCCCAGAGCTGCCAATCCCCTTGCTGGGCCAGAAGAGTGACTGCTGATGCTCTAAGACACAAATTTCTGGGAGAGAAAGGGAAGAATAGACAGCTAGAGCTGTCTAGCTCTAAGGGATCCATCACTGCAGCAGTAGCACAAATGCCTATCAAGGCTTCACCTTTGTACATTACTGCAAGGAAGAAAGCCCAGCAATGTGCAGGAGAGCTGCTAGCCCTTTTTCTCTTCACTCCTCTGCTGATGATGTCAGAGAGCTCAGCAAAAAAACATCCCACAAATAGCAGCCTGTCTGGTAATGATGGGGTAAAGCCGAGTGTGTGTTTATCGCTTGCTGTCCCGTCCTGGTGCTCCTGCTAGGGGTGACCTACTGAAGTCAAGTGAGTGGGGTCCTGTGACCCTTTATTGAGGTATTTGCCAAACTTATAACAACCAATTTCAGTGGTGGGGCCATTTAATGGAGACCGAGAGGAGAAGCTACCTGCAGAGCCAAGCCAAACAGTGGGCACAACTCCCAGGAGAAGGGGCATCAGAGCTTGTGCTTCGCTGGTTTGCTTTAGTCAGTTCTGAGAAGCGCCTGTGATTTTAACAAGCAGTCCTACTAATGAAACCCTCTTTAATGCTGCTGGGTCATCCATCCTGGGATCCTTTTCTTGAGAAGTCCCTCCCAGGACAGGGCAGCTCTCGGAGTCTCAGCCAGCTCTGCAGCAAAGCCATAACTGGGGCATGTTCCTACCAGCAGCTCTATTCCTGCAGCATGAGAGGAACAGGGGAAAGAGACTGGTCTCCAGCCCACTGCTCTCAAAGGGCAGCACTGCAGAGCACCAGTTTGCCTCATCAAGGGGAGGTGCATGGAAGCAATGACCAATAGAGACAGCAAGAAAAGGGAGAAACCACAGAAGGAAACAGAAGGGAATGTTTAGGGCAGGAGTCCAAGGGAGTCACAGGTAGGGAAAAGAGCAGGTGGTTTGGAAAAGGCAACAGGATCATGAAGAAGGAAGAAATGAGGATGGATGGCCAACACCCCAGGCCACCCAGAGCAAAGGGCAATAAAACGTCCCTCGCAGCAGTCAGCCCTGTATTCCAGCACGGACACTTCAGCCTGGATTTCCACCGCAAGGCTCTCACACACACTCTGGAATGGGCTGCACCATGAAGACTTAAAAAGTACAAGCAGTGCCATTTTTAACTTCACTTTGCGATGAGAGTAAGGGAGAAGTCACGTTTTGAAAACCTGGGGCGGCAATAATGCCTTCCCTGCATGTTCTTCAGAGCCAAAGAGAAGGAGGCTGTGTTGTGGGGAAGATGCCAAACAGATGTCTCGACCAAAAACATTACCGTATTCTGGTTTTCACCAAAACTATCACGGAAAGTTTTTCTACAAGTATTTTTCAGACTTTTTTTTGGGAAAACGCTCCCAGTCCAAAGTACACATTTTCAAATTATGAAAGAAATTATACATTTCAAAGAGTGTTTTAATGTCAAAAATTCTCCTTTGACATCTTTCCCCATCCCAAAAGTCTTCCGAAAAAATATTTTTCTTCCTGTACTGTAGATGTTGTTTCACTACTATAACTATTATTTTCATTATGCAGGAAAAAAACCCGTGTTTTTTTCTATAACTTCCCCCAATAACTTCAAAAAGTGAATATATGCCCAACCATAGCAATAAAAATGGAAAACTACAACTTTTTTTTTTTCTAATGAAGGTAAACTGTGAAACAGAAATCTGGAACATGTAACTTCAGTGAGTTATTGTGTTCCAGTGGGAAACAACCTGTATCTCTGGTAGTCCTTGAAAATGTAAAAATAATTTGACTGACTTTGGCAATCCAGAAGTAGGAATCTTCTGAGTTGTGAATCCAAACATCAATCCTAAAACACAATTAAATTGTGTGTTCCTTTTGCCTTCCAAGCTCTAAGTTTTCCTGAACAACCCAGACAACTATGAAATTACCTTAAAATCAAACAAAAAAAGCCAAACCAAAAAAACCTCAAGAATTCTTCCTCCCTGCTCCACAAGGCAAAGCAATGCTCTCTCCAAGATCACCACACAGGCACTGGCCTCTGCATGGTGCAGTGTGGGAGAACGTGGTGCACCGAGACATATCTGGCTGTACTTGCATGTCTACACAACAGTAAATCCAAATCCATCCACTGCTGTCAGCAGACCTGTACAGAAGAGACCTTGTCACCGCCTGGGCTAGGCTGGGCTGAGCAGAGCAGAGCTGTGGGTTTGCTTCTGGGGCTGTCAGGTTGCTCCTGCTCTGCACAGCCAGAGCTCCAGGCCACTCATAGCACTAGCTTGATTTTCCCATTCTTCAGCCTCCAAGAAACCGTGTGCATGTGTGTGTACACTCATATATACTTACGTGTACATACATATATATTGATATACTTCCCCTACACCAAAAGCCTAACTCGCAAGGACCCAATTCTCCACTGAGGATAATTGCTCCTAGAAAAGTCAACCAAACAATAAATAATAACCTTGCTCTTTTCTCTGCTAGCTTTCTCCATGAAATACAGGCCTGTGATATCCTTTATTTATTTTTTTTACAGCAGAAGGATGTCTAGTCATTTTCTTGTTTCCCTTTGAATATTCTTCAGCTTTAGTTAATTTCACAGGCCAGGGAACAGAGATGATCCTATTCTTCCACTGAATCTGGCTCAATAGGATTCTTTCCACCCTATTTCCCAGATGTACATTTGATTTTTCTAATGTTCTCTCTGATACAATAATCCTTCAGCTCTCTAAGTTTTACATTACCTCTTTTGAGCCCCTTGTCCTCCCTGCAGCAGAGCTGGAAGGCAAGGAACTGAGGATCCCTGTTTGGAGCCAGGCCTCTGCATGTTTCTTGACCGCGCGGACTAACAGAGGCTTTGTTGTGCTCTGCACTGATAGAAATGTACCAACCAAGGGAGTGAAGGCAGAGGATAGATTCGTATTATACAATGTTAGTGCTATCAAAATACAGCTGGGCCTAAAGAGCCTATTCAGAAGCTCTAGATCGTGCTTAAAAATTAAATAAGGTGTCTTGAGCACAGCTGCCTTGAAAATGCAGCTTAGTGAAACAGTTGAGACCATTTTACAAAGTAGCATAAGAAGCTGAGTCTGTTCTCTTAGTTTCCTTGCACACCAAAAGAAAAAGGAAGAGACTAAATTTTAAATACTGAAGCTGTGTATGTTTGGTTAATAACTAGACTAATGCTCTAACAGTATTTTGCCAGAAGTTGGAGGGGTGTATTTGTCATAAGTTCTGCAAATCAGGGCTGCTTAATTTTAAGCCTGTTGTTAGGTGTAAAAATCATCCAGGCAGACAAGCCCAGCATAAGGGCCTCTGCACCACTCCTATCCCAGAAAAGCACTTTATGGCCTCTACTGCTATAACTCTATAACCCCTTGCCCTGAGAGCAAAGGTGATTACAGAATCACAGAATCGCTCGGTTGGAAAAGACCTCTGAGATCATCATGTCCAACCGCTCCTGTCTACCCCCTAAACCATATCCTTAAGTACCTCATCTACCCACTCTTTAAACACATCCAGGGATGGTGACTCCACCACCTCCCTGGGCAGCCTGTTCCAGCTTCTGACGACCCTCTCAGTAAAGAACTTAATTATGGATTAAACATATGGACCCTGTCTGGAGAAGGGCCACGGGGAGAGAAAGATGCTGTTCTCTCTGCTTGGTCCTTGTGTTTCAAAGCTCCACTGCAGAAAGCCAGATCTGAAGGTGCAACAGACCAAAGCAGCAGAACTCAATTCTTATGGAGTTGTCCCTCCAGAATAACAAGATAGAGACAACCATAACAGTGCCACACACACACAGGGAAATCGTGGAGCACTCAACTAAGCTACTGTGAGTGACCCAGGGCTGGCACGCAGACATCTCTGTGGCTCTGAAAGCACTACTGCAGCTGGCCAGCTTCTTCCTTGGTCTGCTCAAATCATCACTGTGGAGACACTGCTGTTTACCTTTTGGGGCAATACTTTTAAATAAATGCCACAGCAAACATTTTATCTCACTTTGAAATCTCTGGTTCTTGTGACAAACCTTAGCCTTAGCCTTAGGGCAGTATGAAGAGAGACAAGCTCACCAAAGGCGGGGGAAAAAAAATAAAAATAAAAGAGGGAGTGATTGCAGGGAGGGAAGCATTGCTGCTGCTAACAGACAAGTGACGTGCCAGTGTGTTTGTGACACCTTACCTTATCCCCTGGCTGTGGTCTCATAAGAGAGACTTGATCATAGCCTCGTCGAACCAAAGCCCACAGTGCATCAAGTTTGCCCTGGAAAAAAAAAAAATTACATGATCAAAAATTTTGGGGAAAACAGCATGAGATTAAAGTACAGATGAGTTGGTCCAACCATTTCTGTCTTAAACTGTCTGCAGAAACACTGCTCCTGTGCTCTTGCCCTTTGTACACTGCTTATCTAGACTGCCAGAAAAGAGACCTCAACAGGGTAACAGGTACCTGAATTTGGTACAGGCCAAATTCACCCTGCTCCAAACTCATTGAGGATGATGGTAGTTTAATGTGAACAACTCTCCTACAGGGCACAATTAGACACACGTTACATTAACAAAATGCAGAGCAACAGGAGGCAAGGTGAGCTGGAACGTGGACAAACAGCCATAAGACTCCCTACCTAGGTGGGTTTTAAAATTCACAGGTACTTTCCAGACAATAAACTCAAGCACTGTTAAACAAATGTGTAAGCATGGTGCTGAGGGGGGGACTTCATCCCACAAAGCACTGGTCTGGGACATGTCCAGAGGTTTCTGGGATAAGCATGGTATGCTGCTCCCTTGGCTTGTCCTAGCCATCCAGCTTCCTTCTCTGTAAGTGGAGATAACAGCTCTGCCCTGCCTCAAGGGTTGTGTGAGGATACATACATTAAAGACAGGGAGATACTAGATACTATAATGACACGGGAGAAATGAGGATGAAAAAGTGTGGAGAGACTGAATGACTTTCCCAAAATCAAATACTACATCTTGTGGCTGAACTAGAGGGGAACAGAGCTGAATCCCAACCCGAGGCCTTAGCCACAGTGGAATCAAAGCAAGGACTGTGCATTTTCTGATCCTCTTTGTGTGTTGCCTTGAGACGGCACAAAACAGGACGCACTCCAAAGAACCAGGATATCTGCTGTTGCTAACCCATGCTGTGCTCAAGTACACAAAAAGGAGGTGTGAGCTGAGGGAAGGAAGATCTCTGCTCATGCCTCTAGTACCCTCCACTCTCCCCCATATATCTGTTGCAACAGAGGGTCAGGTGAAATACATGATCCAAGAAATGGCAGAGTTGAAGATTATTGGCTATTTTTCTAAACAGGCTCTCCCAGTTCCACCATAAGAAAGGCCACACACTAAGGAAGTGGGAGTTAACATACATGGCATAAGAGACTTGGTAAAACTAAGGGGCAGACACATTACCTTGATTGGAGTGTACCATTTCCGCTGGGAAGGTGGTTTTCTCACATGGGGCTTTTTTGGCTTGGGTTCCCATGGCTCATACTCCTGCTCTGGCAACTTAATAATAGCATTTTTGGGCTTTTCCAATTTTGCTCCTTCCTCTGTCGACCCCTTGTCTCCCCATCGCACCTGAAGTCAAGAGAGCACACTGTAAGTAGACACACTCCAGCAGTTCCACCAGCAGGTGGTTTTCACAGACATTAATCCAGTTCCCATCAGGTGACCCAGTGCCATGAGATATGAAGCCAAATTTCTGAAGGCATCAAACTCCCACGTTAATCAGAAATATACACTTAAGAGTCAAATATTCTCCCTCAAAATCAGCTTGAACTAATAGCATTTGCACCTTCTGGTAACGTAAGATGTTGTGGGAACTCACAGCATCCTGGGCAGATGAATCAATTCCCAAGTGAAATCCAAAGCACTGTGCCCAGCTCTGTGAGTACACAGGTGTAATATGCTTCCCATTGCCTCATGCAAAAAGGAGGCAGCAGCACCAGCTGAAGGCAGGCAGCCTTTACAGCCAGCCCTAAGCAGCTCCTACAGTTCAGTTCAAAAGTGAAAACAGGATCAGTGGACAAGTACTTGAATGGGTCAAGAGCATCTTAACAGTAGTCATGCAGCTACTATTAAGAAGAGCTCTTCCAAAGAACACCTTGCACAGTCACAAGAGGGGACAGTAAATTTAAATTCAAGTACTATACACTACTCATTTTGAGCTGAAATTTTGATTTTGTCGCCTGACTTACCTCAAACAGAAACGTGATCCTGCATTCAAGGGCAACATATGATCCGTAGGTTTACTCAGCATCAAGGATAAAACTCTTCTGAGGAAAATTGTTAGGGATATTCAGATGCAATTCTTTAGCGGCAAGACTTGCAGGGAAGCCAGTTCATCCTGCTAGCCCTAGCTTGGTTCAAATGCTTGGCTGACTTACATTAGCCCACCTCCCTCAGCTACCAATTAGATATACCGGGAGTTCCTGGTGTGAGATCCCGAAAAATTTATCATTAGGCCTCCTCTGCTGATACAAGTAAGTGAAAATTCCCTGCCTTATATTATCTGTGGTTTGGAATATTGAGTTGATAACACTAACAGGGTTATTTACAGGAGTTAGCAGCTGATCACAGCATTACCCACTGACTCCCTGGATTGTACATGCCATAGGACAACAAAAGGCAAATCTCTTTCACGGTAACACCTCACTTCACACATCAAGACTAGCTTCTACATGAATCTTAGGGCAGGATTTCATTTACTGGCCAATTTAAACACAGATGTGTTTTTGTGCATTGGGAGTTAATGCTTAACTTAAAAACAAACCACAGAAAAAAAAAAAAACAAAAAAAAAAAGGAAAAAAGAGGGGGGAAAAAGAAAAATCACTGGTTTAAATTCCCCAAGCCAACTTCTTCCAGCCAGGCACAGTGTAGATGGCACCTTCAAATAGTGAAGGTCAGTGTAACTCTGCCTGAGAGAAGAGAACTGGACCCAACTGCACTGAGTGAAGGGTTTGATTCAGTAAATTAAAATCTCTTTTCGTGCTTATCCCCTTTCTTAACCTGCAAATTTTCTCTGGCTCATAATGCTAGATTTAATTAATTATTCGTGCGAATGATGGCAGCTTTATTTCTGTTATTTGGACAGCAGGTGTGATCAGGTGGACAAGTCCTAATTAAATCTAAGTCTCTAACCCATCAACATTTTTAAAAATCACATAACAACATATTGGTACGATTTATAATTAAACGTGCAGATTTTCAAAACACTAAAGAACAAGCCAAATACCTCCATCCTCTTAATCCCACCAACACCTCGACCTCCATAATAAGATGCGTCCACAGTTGGCCACTTTTTCTTTGGCAATCCATCTTCATCATCTGATTCCTATGGGAAAGATAAGGAGATACTGCTGCTGTTCTCACATAAATGGCACAAGTGAAAACAAGTGAACATCCTATGGTCCAGTCCTTGGATGTCTGGCGTTGTCTGTTACACTTATTTGCTGACAAAAAAACAAGAGTCTCTTGTCTCTGCAGCTGCAATTTTAACTAGAGAAGCCAAAAAGGATTGCCTACCCCTCTTCTCCAGGCAGCTTTTATTTAGTCAAATATGCATTGAGCTTCAAAATCACAACTGACTTGTAAGGGAGAGCAAAGGGGACATGAATCGTACATTATACTGGCTTACCACTATGGTATGCAGAAAATGCAGCAATCGGTTAACCCAAAGAAACCATTTATTAATTGTGCTTTTAGAACTTAATACAAATCTATCAGGGGAAAAAAGCTACCACTGTGAGTTTTCTAACATGTGCCTCGACCTTTTTCTCATAGCAGCTGTAAGCAGTTATTCTACGCTGCTTGATTCTCTGTAGAGTATGGCTTAAGCTGTACAGTTTGGAAACAGGACTCAGACTTAGGCATCTCCAAACTGTCAGGAAGCACACATCCAGAGTTTTTCACCTGCAATTATAAAGACTGCAGACTTTTCTGGATCATGGGAGAGTCTGAATCAGAGTTTTACTTCAGATTCATTGTTCTGTTCTTGCTTGACTAAAAGCTGGCAAATGTTTCTGGTTCGACAACCCTGGGAACTCATCTCCAACTCTATCAACTCGAGCCAAGTCACTGGCATTTCTCAGACTCCCTATCATTACACTGAGTTGAGGTAGCTGAAAGTCACACCATGAGACTCCTTGAGTACACACACACTTGAAGAAAGGGCCCAACAAGCCTCCTACAATACAGTCTTCATTCCTCACACTCTTTTATAAAAACAAACAACTACACCTCATGTGGATATGCAGATGTGCGCGCCACTTTTGGACTGGCCATGCACAGTGCTCTCTGCTAATTGTAATCAGTACAAGTATCCTTCTAGAAACACTGCCTGGACTTAGTTTTTGCTAAAAAAAATAAAATAAAATAAAAAGAAAATAAAAATCCAAATACTAGAGAAGGATACAAATTATTGCCAGATTAATAGGTGAGATTTTCTCAAAAATCCCCTACCCAAAATTTCTACTGGAATGTAAAAAGAATTGAGAGTCCCAAAAGTCAATAATTGCCCTTAAAAAACATGCCTCGATTTTTGTTTGTTCATATTTAACTTCCAGATAATGTCTTGGAGAAAGGTATTCCCATCAGTTATTAAGTGACATCTGATCTCTCAGCTATGGTTCATGGGTCAGTTCCTCCGATAAATTCTTCAGTATGGCCAGGAAGGACTACAGTTGGCGTTTCCATTAACTAGTAAGAAGGTCTGAGGTATTTTTTTTGGTTTGGCTTGGGTTTTTGGTTGGGTTTTTTTGCTGTTGTTTGGTTTTTACCCTAAGTCAATAAAGAAATGTACAAGGAAGGCATTGTGGTTTGCTCTTGTTTGGTTGGGTTTTTTTTGTTTGGTTGTTTGGGTTTTTTTTTTAAGAGGATAACAAATACCCAAATTTTATTGCATTTTGTGCCACATCTAAAACAGTACCCAGTGAACTACATCAGCAGCTTTAATTCATTTGTATTTGATTTCACTGTGAACTTGAGTACTATATAAAATATCTTGCCTCTTCCATGTGATGTAACACAGATTTCAAGTCTTCATGTCTAACAACCCTTATTGCTGGCAAGCCTGACAGTAGCAGGACACAGTTAATAATGATGCCTAATACTTTTCCAGCTAATAAAGGATTTATACCAAATATCCCCTACACTGAACACATTGCAAAGCAACACTAACAGCTACCACATCCATTTTTAAAAGTAATGGAAATCTAATGCTTGTGGTTTAGAACAAGTTGTAGCTAACTATATTCAGTTTAATAGCAGCAATACCAGACTGTATCAGCTAAAAGGCAGGTCACCATACCTACAGAGACTAGTGCTAAGTATAACAAAACAACAAGCCATACTGGATAAAGACAAGGCAATGTAAAGGTATGGATAATATCTGTATTCTGTGTTATTCCTGCAGGCTTACATCAGCTTACAGTCTCTGATTGCATTTAAAAACTCTGCTGACCAGAATAATCACAAAACATCTAGGAACTCTGCTGCAGGGGTGCGACGCTCTCTAACACAGCATGGTTGCAATTGCATGCTTCATGACAACACTAATCACCCTAAAACTAGCATGATTTTTGGTGCCTATTTTAAAGTTAAATTATCACAAGTGCTGCTGCCCAGGACAAGCAATAGGATCACATGGCAATGGTGGCCTCTGGCAACCTCAAAACAGCAGCTGTGGTTGCCTCCCGAAATTACTGCAAAGTTACAGCCAGTTAGCAGCAAACTGTAAGCTTCCCTTGTGGGTTAGGCAAGTATTTTTCCATCATTTAACTGTATATGCCTAGGAAAGAAATAAAGGCAGGCATGAGTTCTCTGGAGGTACTTTTATTTATTACTATTATTTTCATGAAATTAGTAGAGTGAAAATAAGCTGAGGTCAAGGTCAGCATGTTACTGTCCCAAAAAGAGCTAAATAAAACCCTGCCTCAAACAGCTCCCAACCTAAATGGAGAAAGGCTAAATGTCCTTCCAAAGGTCACTCTGCCGCAGAGCCACAGCCAGGGCAGGCTCTTGCCTGCCTCTCCTGTAGCAAAGCCACAAGAATGTGGTCTTCACTGTCCTTTCTTCTAGCTGCCAGACTTTGTTCCTTACTTTCAAAGCGGGCTAAATGCCTGCTGAGATCTGTAGCAGTTTTACTGGAAGAGAGAACCGCTTTTATTACCTCTCGAGAAGCAAAGATTTGCTTACACGCTTGTTTGATGTGCAGCAGAATGAGAAAATACCATAGGAACTGTTGGTCTGTGAACTTCTGTGTTATGCAACTATTTTATCTGTGGATGGAAATAATCTTGCTGTATGTATATAAAGAGTCCAGAAGGCAGCAATAACTGTCCTGACCCCAAAGACTTCCTCTCACAGCCTTCAAGGTGTCATTAAGACACCTACAGGGCTGACATTCCACAATACATTGCAGTGGCTGCAGGCAGTGCAACAGCTCAAAAATAGTGTACTTACAGGCTCTGGAGGTGGTGGAGGTGGTGGCTCCTTGATCACCTGGAATATATAAAAAAAACGGGAGAAATCCGATTTAATGGTAGGGTTCATCCATCTCAATGTTATGCCCTCTCTTCTTTCTTGCTCATATCACAGAAAGGTCGCCCTTGTCCATTCACCCACATTCAATCCCATCATTAGCCCTGCTGCTTTTCAGCACACATAAAATAAATGCGGGTGAGAAGCTAAATCCATCACATTGAACTATCCAATTAGACAAACGCCCTATCAAGTAACTTGTTCTACAGCTCTGTATCCTGGTAGTTCTTCCTTAATGTCATGTGATTACCAAGCTAGTGCAAAACATTCACTCAGAATCTGCAGCTCCTATGACTAATACTAATACTAGAAAAGCCTAACTCTTGTCTCTAAAAATGACCATAACAGCTTATACACATATTAGTAATTCAGTTCCATTACACTTTTCTGCAGCAGGTTTCAGATCTTGTTCTAAGGAGGTTTCGATCCCTTCAGAAACTTGGGTCATGTCCACAGACTTCTCATTCAGTGTCAAAATTACGTAGGCCTTGCGACATTCAAAAACCCGGACGAGAGTGACTTGAACAAGCACTTTAAGCAAATTGTTGAATCAGGGCCTTACAAACCTGGCAGCATTTTTATTAAACAGTTAACTATCCACTCCAACATTTTAACTCTGTGCTTTCACAAAGAAGAAATTAAACCAAATCAAAATAATAAAAGCCTGTACTTACCACTGTGCAGCAAAGGGGCCAGAACCACCAAAGGAGAGCCAGAGCCAGCAGCAGAAAGAGAATCAGGAGAGCAATGAAAAGGATGGTCCCAGTCAGCTGCAAACAAGATTATTACTTCTGAGTTATGTGCACGTGTCACAAACAAGGCAGGAGTTCTTCTAGTCCTGCTGGCTATATTATTCCTGTTGCAGGCCAGGATGCTGTTGGCCTTCTTGGCCACCTGGGCACACTGCTGGCTCATTCAGCCAGCTGTCGATCAACACCCCTAGGTCTTGTTTTGTCAGGCAGCTTTCCAGCCACTTGTCCCCAAGCCTGTAGCATTGCATGGGGTTGCTGAGATCCAAGCGCAGGAGTTGGCCCTTGGCCTTATTGAACCTCATGCAGTTGGCCTCAGCCCATCAATCCAGCCTGTCTAGGTCCCTCTGAAGAGGCTTCCTACCCTCAAGCTGATCAACACTGCCACTTAACTTGGTGTCATCTTCAAACTTACTGAGGGAGCACTCAATCCCCTCATCCAGATCATTGATAAAGATGTTATACAGGAGTGGCCCCAACACTGAGCCTTGGGGAACACCACTTGTGACCAGGTGCCAAGTGGATTTAACTTCATTCACCATCACCCTCTGGGCCCGGCCATCCAGCCAGTGTTTGATGCCATTTCCTTGGATTGCACTGGACTCTGGAATGAGGTTAAGATTAGCTCCAGTGCTTCAGCCATTTCTTTTACACTGTGAAAAGAAACTTCCTGAACTGTAGATTTTCTAAGTTTGAGAAGAGTTTCAATTCATCAGCAACAGGGGGACCGGAGAACATGCAAAAGCTGGCAGCAAACTGCTGGATGGACTGGTACTAGGAAGGTGTGAAAAAAGCTTGAAGAAAGACCTGTGAATCAGGTTGGGGAACAGGAACTACCCAGAGAGGAAGCTGTAAGAGATGTTCAAAGAAGTATAGGCAGAAGGATAAGTAGAAAGAAAGGAAGTTCCAAAGATTTACGGCGGATAAAGTCTATGAGATTGACCTTTTTAAATCTCAAACTACTTGCCAAATTCCCATGACACCAGAAACTGATGTTTAGCCCCTTCTTACAACAAGAGTTCCCTTCACTGTTCTAAGTGGGTTTGTTTTCTCCTCAGAAAATGAAATGACTGACCATGGAAAAGAAAGTACCAGCTCAGAAAAGCTTTGCAAAGTCTGGGTGAGATCCCAAGTGGCTGACTTGGGCATTACCTGGTTCTTTCTCAGGCCAAATCCCTGAGCTGTCATGACTGACATGTTCAAGATGGGACTAACACCACCACAGCTTCTACCACCATGCTTTTGGGCAAGTAACCCAGTATCCCAGATCTCTGTGTCACAGCATTACCATCCCTCCACTAGTCTGTGGCTTCTTGCAATAGATGCAACCAACTGACCTGTTTTGGGACACACTATTTCGCTCACCTCATTCACGGTCATGGAATGGCAAAAAGGTAAAATGCCAAGTAGCAAAATGGCAAAAGCCAACGTGGAGTGCTAAGACATGTGCCAGACCCCCTGCACAAAGAAGTCCTGTTAGAAGACACACTACCCAGCTGCAGTTCAGTCCTGCAGCCTCCCTTTCTGGCCCTCCTATGGCCCCATATAGCGCTAACACATCTGGAAAGCAGACACTTGAGAGGCATGAATTTCCAGTGAAGTCAGTTTGCTGAGAAAAGGATTAATAAAGGTCAAGCAAAACTTTAAGAGGTACTGCTGCACACCTTAAAAACAAATCCAAGCACAGTAGCAGTGCAGTGCATGAGCCACAGATGTACCTATCACTGCTACTGTTACTCCAAACACACATTACCTCCTTGTTTTGTAGCCTTTGCTCCCAGGCATTGCTTTTCCAGTGCTAAGCGGTCATATAAATCGCTGAGACATTTGCCAGTAGCAGCTCGGGAGTTGCTGGCAGCAAGAAGCTAAAGGGCTTTCTTTTAATGACTAAATATACAAAGTATTGTAGTGATGCTGGACTTGGAAAAGGAAATAGCAGAGCTCATGCAGCTGAACAGAAATAAGCACAAGGATCACACAGAGGCTTTAGAGTAAAGTGAAGATACTTACTGTACAGAAAGGACAGAAGGGCCAGCTGGGGAGGAGAGCTGAGCAGGCCAGCTGACTGCCACCCACAGAAAAAGAAACAGGAGAGGAAAGGAAATGGAGGGAGTCTCTAAAACAAGAAGAGTGAAATGCATGAAATTAAGACAAAGTTGGAAACTGAACTGTCAACCTCCCTGCTTATGGGATGTAACTGGAATGAGACAGTCTTTTTTTTTGGTACCAGCTGAGAATCAGGCTTCCTGCCTCCTTCACATTCAATCTGCAAGAGGCTGGTCAAAAACTGTGAGATTGACAGGATTGGAGATTGAGTTCCTCTCTTTATCCTACGGCTACTGAGAGGAAAGCTTCCTGCATCCATGTTCTGGCCTTTAGGAACACCAGCTAGAGCTAAGACTTCAGTCTTCATCAGAAATGAGTTACATATGGGTAACTAAATGCACCAGTTAACACTTGTTTCCCTGCTGACTTGAAAGGTTTTATTGTACCTGAGGTAGCGGAGGGGAATAAAATGTGAAAATACCAGTCTTTGGTGTAGAAAATTTGGAGGAGAGTTTCGGAAAAATAAAAATAATCAGGGGAAGCAGCAAACACATCTCTGCTAAATTCTAAGTGCCCACACCCTGGGATGCTCCAGCAATCTGGTGTGAGAATCACCACCTTCACTACTAGAAAATGAGGTCTGCAAGTTCCAGTCACTGCCTCTGTCCTTCTTCCTGTACTCCTGTTCTGCAGCTGTCAGAAAGGCCAACAATGATTACAAACCAATATGACAGCATTTGACGTAGGCTATAGAAGCCCTTTTGACACCAATAACAATAAAGCTCAACTTCGATACAAAGTGTTTGCTATCAGGTACTCCAGTAGACTTTGTTTCATCCATAAGCACAAGGCCAAATCTTTAGCTACTGTACCAGCTATGGGCATTGCCTATTTTTACTTCAAGGCAAGGAAGACTGCTTATCTAGCAGTCAGCTTCTTCATTTTGATTGGTTCTAAAATCAGATTTTGCTAAAGGATCACTTCTAGCTGTTGGTCCCTGACACTCCACCTGAGGGCAGGTGGTCTTTTTGATCAAGAGATGATCATATCACAGCCATTGCTGTCCTGCAAAAACACATTCAACCTTGGCTAGGATGAGCAGCAGGAGTTTATCAAGCAGCTCATTCTAGTATCTGAAGCTGCAATCTCTCTCTGGGTGTCCCCCAGGACATCAAGAGAAAAGCAACCAGCTCCTGTAATTAAAACTGTAAAAACACCTTAGCAAATCTTGAACGAGTAAAGGAAATTGTGGAAGTCTAAGAAAAATACTGTAAGCTCCAACCACAAAAAACCCAACCATATGACTTCAGAGGACCTTCCATGCTGTGGCCCTTTCAGATCCAAGTCCTGGCAGTTACACCTTTCACCCCAGACCCCATAAGGATTCCCAAACCTCACCAAGGTGTTGCTTCCTGATGCTCCTTCCCTCATTTTCCCAGATTCCCTTCTAGTCAGATCCTAACTTTGAGGATCTCCCTTTCCTGGGATAGGAGTGTGCAGGGTGCCTTTTGCTGTCGTTTTTTAATTCAGTAAATCTATCATGATCGAACCACCATCAATAACAACTGAAACTTAACTAGCCGTGGTTATTTTTCAAAGAATTGCTGGGATCCAGACAATAACTGTGATGCAGAAGCTGAAGAGAGCTCATGCTCACTCGAGGAGGCTTTGCCTGAAGAGCCACTGTCTCTCTCCAAGATCTCATGGTTCCTCTGTCAAGCCCCATTGCAATTACTTACACACTGTGTGCTGGTGATGCTGACAGAGCTGGAGATGAACGTTAGCCCGTTGTTCATGCTGACTTGTAGGAAAACCACCCTAAAGCACAAAACAGATACACTTATTTTTAGTGTCATCTTTATACCCATTGTTCTCTTTATTCTGGCTGTGTTTTAGCCATTGGCTCACGAACACGCCTGGATAACATGTCCTGCTGAGTCAAGGCATTTTCATGGCTTTAGGTGCTTACCTGCATTTGTCTCTCTGCTTGCCCAGGAGCTACCCTTTCAACGTTGGCTTAATTGAGTGGGGGCATATGCTCTTTATTAAAAAAAACTCTATGCCACCTGAGGCAAAGGGCACTAGAACAGTGAGTCATAACACAAAGCCTTAGACATTTGCAATACTACCCCAGATAGCGCAAGAAACTTTAAGGCTTTTTTTTTAAAAAAAACCAACCTCTTCTGCAGGTAAAAGAACCAGAACGTATTTTATTTTGTATCCAAACAAATCTAGAACACTTGCACTGAGGTCAAGGGATAAAAACACTGAAATGACAGTGAAATTAAAAAATAATCTATCTTTAACTGCTCCCCAATATCAAAAAAAGGGGCCAAGAAAAAAACAACAACACCCAAACAACAAACAAAAATTCCCCCAAACCCTACCAACTTTCCCTCACCCACAAATAGGAAAGGGGAGGGAGGCATTCCCCCTCACCCCTAGGTACAGTATTTAAGCACCCACAAGATCACCAAGGGAGGAGGCAGAGTCTTGTGCCATGTCTCCTGGAGTCTGCAGGATTACAACCGCTGAAAAATACCAACACTAGCCAGAGCAGGGCAAAACACAGGAAGCAACATCTACAAAAGCAGCAAGGGAATTCAAACCAAGCACCTCTTTTCAAACAAAGTGCAAAGTTTGCCTGGAAGTCAATTACCTTTTCATCTGAAAAAAACAGAATGCAGGAACAGAGGAGAAATCACCATTCTATGATATGGGACCAAGGTCCAAGAAGGCCTTTGATTAAAGTGTGCTAAAGATCCAGCTTTGAATAGAGCTATGCTGGCTCATACTAGGATGAGATTTGGCACAAAGGAGAGGGAGGTAATCCTGCCACACACACACATATTAGCTTGGCACTTTGGGCAGAATTCTGAGCCCTTGGTCAGTAATCACATCCTCATCCAGAAGTTCCCTCTTTCTTGACATGTGCTGGAAAGCAATACTTACTGTCCAGCATCTTCTATCACTGGGGCAGGACAAAGTAAGTAAGTATCGTGAACAAGGGTTGGCTTCTCATCTGAAAAGAAATGAATATAACTGTCAGGGATGAAAAAAAAATTGTCTTGAGCAGGCCACCCCCGGAGAAGCATTGGCACCAATGAGAGCCACAGATGAATGCAGTATATAGGCAAGATCCAATATTTCCCAATGATGCTGATTACATAGCTGAATACTAGGATGACCAGTCTTGTTGATGCCAATATAACATTATCAGGCTAGAGATACCATAGCTGAGAAATGGAAGCACATCTCTGTTCCTGACAGTAGTGAACAGCCATTTGGAAGCCAGCTTTGAGCAATATTCAACTTGTCTATCTGACAAATGCATGCAAACTCTACCCATACTGAATACTCTGACCTCACAAGATACTCAAGGGGTTAAAAGTATAGGGTTCAATGGAAGTGGTACCCACTTCCAAACACACAGACAAGAGTAGTCAAGGCTGCACTGTTTGAAGCCCAAGGAAGAACAGAAATGGGGTGGAGCTGAAGTGGACAGACACGGGAGGAAAAAAACCCCATGGCTGGTCATATACAGGAGACAGGCAGAAAGGGGCCATGACTGATGCTGCTGTGAAAAACTGTCCTGCACTAGCTGCTGCTTTTCTTGTCCCCAGCCTCCCCTCTGTGGCAGCATCATCCAGAAACAGCTCGTGTTTATAGAGGTCTGGTGCAGGCAGAGTTAAAAGCAAGGCTATAGGTGTTTTCCTGCATCCTTACACTCTGCTGCTCTGAGAGTCGGCAGTGCTAACCCTGCTGCTTTCTAAAGCTACATTCAGAAAATCAAGTCAAATGAACACAGAGAAGGCCCAGCACTAATCCTGCAATGCCATACCCCTAAAAGTGCATAAGATGAGGCACAAGAGCAGACAAGTCACTGCCGTGACCACACTTTAGCTTCAAACAGCCCCACAAAGCAGCTAAGGTGCTAGTCCAGATAAAGATGGGTCCACAGAAGTCCAACATAAGTAAATTAGGGGCTGGTAAAAGCTGCCACCTTATTTAAACCTTACAGGCTTGACTGCTCTTTCTACCTAGGAAAAATATTAACTAAAGTAGCAACAGATATAAGAGTTGTTCCTTCATACTTATCCCACCCCAAGCACACCTGAAGACAAAGCTCATTTCCATGCTTTGGCAGAGATGACACCATGGAAATTATAGTGATATGTTTTAGGGCCAGCCTGAGGGGAAAAAAGCCAGCAGCATAGATCAGTGTGTCATCACAACATCTGTTGCAGACCTAACCCAAGGATAACACAGCACAGAGGAGATGTGGAATTAGGGTATTTTTCCTGCTGTGTATTTCCAGTTCTGGGTCAGCACTCATTGTGTGAAGTCCAGTCAAGGTGCCAGTGCATTAGGGACAAGGAAGAAAAAAAACAAAAGTCTATCTACCCGGTAAACCTCAAGAAACAGATCCCCAACAAAGGACATCTGTAAGTGGAATGAGAGTGAGACCACCGGAGTTTATTTAATGCAGCCTCCACGTAGGCAACTAGGATGGGAAATGAAGGAGCGATTCATGTGCTCCCTCTTGTAAGTGAACTCACTGCTAGGGAAGGCACCAGTCTGACCACGACAGGATATGAAAGCCCCTACTATGCTCAGCCAACAAGGGCAGCATATACAGAAAAGGAGCAAAGCTCCCCTCCCCATGCTGTGCTTCACCCTGCCAGACATACACTGCTTCTCAAGAATGAGAGAAGACTGCTGGGAAACTGGACACTCAATCCTTTTTGGACATTCAGTCCTATGCCTGGCTGCTGAGACAGCAAACAAAAGACCCTGTATAGCACAGTGATGACAAGGAGTTTTTGCATTACATGCTCTCTGCAACAAGACCAGCATCAGGCATCAGAGAGGAATGGAGAAGGCCTGGGACGGTGAGTGCCTCCTGCTTTACGGTGAGTCTCCCAAATTGGTGACAAAATAGCCTGAAGACACCACCAGAGGAGCAAGATAGCATTATTTCTTTTTACTGGTGATGAACAAGGGAATAGGGAGCAATTTTATTTCTCCCTCCTAAAACCTGATACCCAGTCCTCGCTGGCTGTATGCATCACCTACATGCATCATTACAATGACACTGAAATTCACTGGGCAGCAGCACACCCCATGTAAGCCCTCACACCACAACACCCACAGGTCATAGGATTGAATAAGGATGAATTTAAAGCTTCTTTTAGGTGTAGATCCCTACCCAGTTTCCCCCACATCCACTGGAAGGACTTGTCCAACACAGACAAGAGGTGGGCTGTGACATAGCCACAGGGGGTACTGGAATCCATCAGCCTGCAAACTTACTGATAGTAAGGCTGTCATTGAGCTTGAAGCTGCAGAGTACCTGGTCGATATTTCTTGCATGATAAAAGCCGTTGCCTCTTACCACAACTTGAAAGGATTCTGTAAGTAAAAACAGGAAAGTTACGAAAAATAGCTCAAATACAGCATTTCCTTTCAGAGTTAAGTACAGTGTGACAATAGCTCTTCTCTGCCCTATACCTGAATCAGAACATTCACACTGACACTCTCAATATCCAGCAGCAGAGGACAGGAGTTCCGTGGTGGCACTAGTGCTTCACAGAGCAACACTCAGTTCAAGATTGCTCCCGCGAGCATCCCATTGACTCCCAATGCCTTAATTAAAGGTGCCACAGCAATACTGCGAGCCAAACATAACTGATGTCATCTCATGGTTTCTCCATGGATTTTGGGCCAGACACCTTTGCTAACCGTAAGCACCAGTCCTTCCTCCTATCTCCACAGCAGGTGGCACTTGGCTTTCTGTCCTGATAAGGTCTCCTTTGCACCTCTCCTTCAGTCCTGATGGAGGGGCACCTGTGATTTTTGTCATTACTGTGATGAGCAATCATGATTTGTTCATTCAAGCAGAAAAAGCAATGTCAGCTTTTTCAGCCAACCTTTCAATAGTCTTTTTCCCCAATAGAGCAGTTTCACATTTGAGAAAAGCCAACCTAGGAAGGGTACTGCCAGAAGGGAGATCCCAACTGCACATGCCCTCCACTGTTGAAACCACTGATCATGGTGCAGCGCACTGAGCTTGCTCACACACCTGAAAAATAACCCTCTGTTTGTTGTCAGAGAGATCAGCAAGGTGATCTGCCTGTCTGAGCATCTGCTGGGAATAGAAGTGTGCAGAAGGAGAGAGAGGGACAAGTGGTGGTAGCATCAGCCGACTTTATGCCTATTGTGACACCTCCCCTCCTCGAGTCAGTGTATCCAAGACAGTTAAAAACAGGAAAGGTAATCTGAGGAATATGATATTAAGAAGCCTGGTTTGGTTTCTCAGCCTCTCCACAGTAAACTTTCAAAATTATTTACTTAGTAACCTATATGGGCCTCAGAGCTCTGATAACAGCACAACACAACTGTTTGTGGCTCTTCCTTCTCTTTTACTTTACACAGAGAGAGCCCAACACAATGCTGCAGTCACTTTCTTCTTGGAACCAGCCCAAATTGCCAAGCTAGGCATAAGATGCAGCAGGAGGTGAAGTGCCAAGGGAAACCTGTAGCTGCGACATTGACCACAAAGAAAACATCTTTGATGCAGGCAGGTGGAGAGACATTACAGATTTATTCTGTGCCAAATGTGGTTTTTAAAACTCTCTTTGGTGCTACACTCAAGAAGCTCACAGCCAACACCCATGGCAAGGGAAAGCACGGAAGCTGTACTTTCACACATAAATCCCCTGCTTTAGTTAAATCCTCCACAGAGCTTGCTTATGCCAGCCACTCAGCAGCATCTGAGATCAGCCCAATACCAGGGGGATACCAGCACAACACGGGACCAATTAATCTTCAAGCTACACATAGAAAAATATGAATAAACTACATAGAAGTTTTCCACTAGCAGCAAGTGAAACCATGAACAAGTCCACATGCACTATCAGCTGTACTTTGACCAACATACTAAAAATGAGACGAAGATAGGATTGAGGGGAGCCATACCTATTTTTTAGTGATATGAGGATTGGCTTTTGATAACATTTCATATGATGCACTGCCACGTTATTTGTATGCTCTGGAGGAAGGATTTGTTATGGGATAACGCTACATGAGGCTCAAAGGTGGCTGAAATACATATTAAGCTTGGTCTGCCTGTTCTTCACTATCGAGTTACTGCAAGGCAAGCTAGCATAAGGATGTGGAGTGCTTTAACTTTTCCATACAAACAGCTTGTTCTTGCCAAAAACACATTCTCACTACATTGAGGTCTAATACAGCTCTGGGTTAATTGAACAAGGGTGTGCACAAGTTATGATCAAGCACTGGAAACCCACACTTTGGTTTTCCTCATGGTAACTTTTCCCTGGAGCAGTGCTCTAAGCTGACACAGGCTGCAAGGTACATGGAATTGGAGAAGATATTTTGGGAGGGGAAAAAGAAAATACCGACTGGAGCGCATACTAAAATGAAACACATGCTTTGGCACTCCACTGAAGAAAGATTATCAAATTTGAGACCTCACCGAGTACAGCAAGAACCAAATGCACAAAGACAGCATCAGAATTTGGCCTCCTTTTTAATGGAGGAGTTATATACCTCCTGGTTCTCAGTGGGGGTGGAAGGCACTTCTTTAAACCAATAAAAATGGACTGTAGGGCAGATTCAGCTGTTTCTTACTCCAGTAAGAATCTGGAGTTACTCTAAGTCTGATCCATGCCTTGAGCCGTTCCACACCTACCCAGCTGATATACTGAGGGTTATTCTTGATGAGCATGCCCTTTTTTTGCCAGCAAAGCTGAGAGTCATGGCCAGCCCCAAGGGCAACTGGGTCTCTGCCCACCCACCAGAACTACCTATGTGGGACCACACATTACCTCAGACTTGCTTGTAGCCAGCCCACTCCAGGGTGTCTTAAACTCCCAGCTAAGATGATAATTTCTTTTTTTCCTCTCTAGTTTATATTATAAGAGGAGCTTGCTAAAATAAGATTGCACTTAAGAGTTTTTTCCCCCCACACGCCTCATGAACTAATGGTCTGAAAAGGCAGCAAGTACAAAGACTTGATAGCTATTTCAGTGGCTTCAAAAAGATGTAGCAAGCAAGAGACTTTCAACACAAGACATTGAACATAACAGCTACATCCAGAAGTTTAGTGTTGTCAAGACAGTTTACCTCTCCTGCCCTTCTTTTCACCGTCACTGCCACCCTGCACAGTCAGTCGTGAACAACTGACTGGGTAGCAACCTGTCCACCAATATAAGCTGACAATGTAGTTTCAATACCAGACTCGCACGGAAATGTAAACAGCTAGTTCAGGATTTGGTTGTTGCTGTTAAGAAGCCTGACCCTTCAGATGCTCCGGAGCATTAACGTGTTCTGGATGATGGTCTGTTGAAATGGCTAATTCCATTTAATTTTGCGCCCTGGCTCTGGCTGCGTCCTTTTCTTCCTTAGTTACTGTCAGATCGTAGATTGCAGCTTTTGACAAGACAGCGAAGGGAAAAAGGTCAGCACTGAAATAACCGGGCAGCGCTGGCAGCGAGATGGTAGGTTGAAGCTGGTGTGCGCTGGCTGCGCTGTCGGCTTCGCTTCTGTAACTCTGATGAGAAGCTGACGGCTTGTATCCACACCTGGTAGTTGATGTGGCCAGTAGGATGCCACATCCAACAAAACCTTTCAATCACATCTGCGTACCATAAGCATAATCAAAGCAATGATGCTGTCAAACAGGATGAGGCACCTCCAATTCTGCACTGATAGCCTGTTTACAGGCTGCATGTCTTGGTCACTTTAAATCAGAGGGAACAGGAAGGACCTAACTACATTGCTTCACATTGGGGACAATGAATTTGCAGGGTCAAAAAGCATTAAGCATCAGATAGCTGTCACAACGTGACGAGATCAATTTGTAAACGGGACTTGCCAGATAGCTTCATCACAGAGAGCCAGAGTCCAAACTGGAATTGTCACCACGTGGAAATTTTCATCAGTATTTTATTGAAACTCTGGCAAGTCAAAAGTGAAGCTGAGATCACCAGTAGTGACCAGCACAGTGGGAATTACAAGTTGCAAGAACAGTTGCAATGAGTAGGTCAGTCTGCTCTAAGCCCTGATCATGACTGACTTCCACTGAGCAATACAAAGCCCTCATGATCTCATATCAGAATCTAAAAATCAGTCATAACACTGAATAAAAGCCAAACTGATTATCACCTCCTCACTCAGATAAGTTTCATGCAAAAATCACAGGTAAAGCCATATTTCAAGGCTGTAAACAAGCAAGCTTCTTTTCTGGATGATGTGATAATACACTGCACTCTTTCAAAAGTCTACTATTTTTCAATCAAAATTTTAAAATGCACAATTCCGTATTTTTTAAAAGAAGAAAATTCCTAACTTAAAAAAAGGGGGAGGAATATTGCATATCTAGAAAATCTTATGTTCTAATTTTGAGCCAGTTCTTAATGCAGGTGTATATAAATTTGTATACAGGATTCAATGGCTATATCTCTTACCTATACAGATATCAGTAAGCTACATTAGTAATTACCTAAATTTAAAATGCATTAAAATTCTGAGATTACTTCATAGGCTTCAGTATTTTTTTGTGTGTTAAAGTCCAAATAAAGTACATTAAAAATAAATCACACTGCATAGAGAGTAGAAATATATATGACTGTCCACTGAACTGGATCCAGGATCTGGATTCACACTACCATGAAATAAGTTGTTGAATCCCAGGAGATTCCCTGCAGGAGACCAGTGGTGCACGCAGCTATAAAGATGAACCTCTGGCTATGCTAACATAAATGAGATAACGAAAGATAACAAAGCTAAGCAGAAGTGTAAATATTTGCAGCCTCACACCATAAAACCTCTTGCACGACTTTATTTCAGATAAGGTTTGCTGGACTAGACTCATAACAGAAGCTATTACAGGCCTGATTCCTGGTGCTAAAGATCCTCTAACCCACAACAACAATGTGCACCACTTGGGGCTGCAGTTTTGGCTTCCTCCTATTTTCAAGCTCCCTGCTGCTATAAGCAAAGCTTCAAGCACACAAGATCCAAGTCTTCACATCCTGGGGATTCAGCACCACATTTCACCATGCACCAGCCTTTGCTGAGTGGCTTTGTCAACTAGGACAGAACAAACCTCAAGATTCAAGTGAAACACGTGCCAGTATTTTGCTGAATCAGCAGCAATATACAGAAAGTGGTTCTGCCTAATTTCTATTGGTCCGATTTGAAACCCACAAAGATACTGAAAAACTTCTACATAGTAATGAAAAAAAATAATTAAGGAGAGCAAACTATTTGAAAATGCACTAGTGTATTTTTAATCAGTTTTGTGGTAAACTAGTTACTCAGCAAGCTTGCAAAAAACCAAAATGGCTTGAACTCGTGAATCAGAAATCAAGCTGATTTCTTTAGAAAAAGGAATCCTACTTTTTGCTGAAATATGTCTGGTTTTGAAAAGCTAATATTTTTTAAAAAATTAATTTCTCAAATACTTTTGAAAACTATTTTCAAATTTCCATTAAAAAACAGTTTCAAATTCCACTTTACAATACTCTTAACTTTGTACCAATTACAAGAATACTACTGAAATCATTAGCAGTACACAAGCATTTTCATGTAGCTAAATGCAATTCCTGGTAAACAGAAAAGTTCGCAGCAAGCTGTTACACAAAAAATTGCCTGGTATGCAATAAGTAAGCAAAAAAAAAATAATTTATCGCAGTCAAAGCTTTAAAATTCATTTTGCTCAACTCCACAAGGAGATATTTAAAAGGCAAAATAATGGATTTCTTTTTTTTTTTTTTTCAAATTTTTTCGACAGACAAGATTTTGTAACACCCATCTCACAATTACGTATTTAGAAATAGTTCAAAAGACAGCAGGGTATTTTATTTCATTTTAAATTTAAATACTCATGGCAGGATCATATTGCGATCGGCATGTGGAAGTGAAGAGTGAACAATTTCTCTTCTCCGTGATATTTATTACATCGCTCCCCAACTGCCAATTTTTCTCTGCTTGCAAGGTCAGCTTTCATGCGTCATTGCTATTCTGTTTTTATGTGCTCATTTTTACAACGTACAAGGGAACAAACACAAGACAGTACCATCAGACCTAAATAACCATGCTGTAAACTGTACCTTCCAGCAAACTTACGGTGTCACACTTACTCTGCTGCAATAGCCTCTTGAGCAGACAAAAAACACACACGAGAATTGCTAATGTAAACATGAACAAACACAAGATAAATATATTAGATATGAAAGGCATGAAATTATGAGCGGGTCCTCTGGGGAATCTTCTCATTTACCATATATACTAACATTTATTTCATTGCAAGAAAAGTAAGACTGGTGCTTTGGGAAACGCATCAGGTATCTTGGCCTATGCAGTTAATTATGTCTGGTTCAAGAAACTTGAAATTTCTGAGAGTGTTTTTCGAAATCTTGTTATAACCACTGACAAGTCTCAGCATATCCCAGGAAGGTAGTCTTTCCAGAAATTTGTGAGGCATTGCCTTTAGACCCTTAAACATCTCTCACAGTCTTTACATCACTTTTGTCATCTTTTTCTCAGATATTTTAAAAAGTGGTATCCCCAATTCCCCGAGCACTACCTCAGCCAACTCTCTGAGCTGGCATTCAGCTGCAGCAGCTACACGTTTATTGGCATTATTTTTTCCTCAAGCTGAGAAGGGACACGCAGGGCTTTTGCTATGGCTCAAGGGGATGCTCTAACACATCCATGGACTTCAGCTTCGATACCACATTAGGTAGTTACTGACATTTTATCAGCAGAGTTCATTTGCCTTATCGCACTGTTCTTGTAGTAACTTACCTCCTGCACAAACACTGGATGGTTCAGCCGCTAGGATCTCAATGCAAGACTTCTTGAGAATCTATGAGATTTAGATAATGTTATTTTTGGTAACCATATTTACCTATACTTTATTAATACAGGAAAAGGTGTCTTTTTTCTGGGTTTCAGAATATCCAACTTACTGAATCAATGGTTCCTCTCAGGGCATAAAAGCCTCCCGTAACTGGAAAAACATGATCGATGCTGTCAGCAATTGTTGACAGCTGTGAAGAAAGACAATCATAAATCATGAGGAAAACAAAATTACAGTGAACAAAACTGGGTCCTTTCATACTTGCTAAAAGACATCATACTGACAGGAAGTGATTTATGCCTCAAGTAATTAAATAAATGCCTTCATCTGATGCTGTTACTTGTGCAGTAGTACAACAGAAAAACAAAACAAGAAAGCAACAAAAGTTACCTGAGTTTCATTAAAATCTTTCACTCCAACACAATAAACAATAGCTCCAAGGCTTCTGGCTCTGTTGGCCTAAATAAGAAAACAAAGTTGCCATTAAATGCAATGCCATATAATCAGTGGAGCAACAGTAAATGCCTATAAGTCTGACATAAGCTAGTTCAGGTAAATGCAAAGGTGACTTACTTCTTGTTCTGCATAATAAAACTGAACGTCTTGCAATTCTCCATCCGTCAGAGCAATAATCACACTGGCGGTCCGAACTCCTACATGGAGGATAATTAACAGATTACATACATATGACACAAGATTCAACAATTAAAAGTAAGTCTGAAGTTAAGCTGACAAATAAATACAAAACCATAAGGCCAGACTCTCAGTCTGACTTGTATGGACTTCACTGAGAGATACCAGTTGAAGGTTAGATGCACCATAGCACACCATAAGCTAAAACCTGTGCACCTTCGTATCACAAGCCTCACTGAAGGGGGAGTACTGCTCTAACAAGGTCCACACACAGACTTCTCTGTTCCGAGTAAAATACAGCAGCCACCAAGATTACATCTAGACCCTTTGTGTGGAGAAGCGGCAGAACGGATCCTTAGAGAGGGAGAGGCTTCCTCTCTTCTCCTGACAAAGATGTCTCTACACAAACCTGGCCCAGTTACTGTGGTAAGAGATACCTCTACAGAAGAATCTTTCCTCCCATCCTACCTTCCCCTCTAGCAGACTTTCAAAGAGCAACTCCACTGAAAATGGCATGAAATATGCTTCTGTAGGGGTGTTCAGTCCAATACTTCTTGAGCAACAAGAGCTGCTAGTGAAGTTCATAGGAACTCTGAGCATGTTAAAACCTTGAGATCAGGTCCACTGGAGAAGATTCACATCTTGTGATAAGACATTTCATATCCCACCTAAGCTTAAGCGAAAAGGTTGCATAGACATTGCATAGCTATATATGTAATGTAGTATAGAATACAATGCAGCCTAGAAAAATGCAACATGTTAACAAGATTAAACCAAATTAATATGCAAACTATGGTATAGTTAACCATTCTGCTTCAACAGCTCTTAAGCAAAGTAACTAATACACACACATGTTACTTTCAGGGAAGTATTTGTTGTTATTTCAAAATAATCTGTTACAATTTCAAGTGTCTTCCCCCACAGTGTCTGAAATTAAAGACAGATTAGTTCTGACAGGTTTCTTATGCCATGCAGTCCTTCCGATGTCATGTCAGACAGAGACACAAATCTTTAAAAAATGACCTGCAACTTGGGGGTAAAAAACCAGCTTGGATCCCTGTATTCCTCTACCTTTTTTTTTTTTTCCTTCTGCCCAGTATGCTGGAAAGACTGAAAATCTGGAGATCTTATTTTCTTTTCTTTTGAAGCCTTCCCCCCCCCAGCCCCCGATATTTTAGCCTATAAATCCAGATCTAGTCTCCTCCTTTCTCTTTCCTAATCAACTTACATAGTAGTTGATTAGTTCTTAGCTACATGTTACGAAGAGGTAAAATAATTTTCAGTTGGACTCTTCAGGACTCTTGACCTCGCTGTCAGAAATGCCTGAGAAGCCATGCAAAGTTGCTGCTGAAGACCCTACACTCACAGCCTATTTTATCAAAAAGGCACTGACCCATTTCTCCAGCTTTCAAAGAGACCATCAGCCCACAAATGAGAACAACCTCATGCCAGGGTACAAAGCAGGCAAGGAGTGCTCAGTTTAACTAATTAGGCCTTCTTTTGGCACAGACAAAATATACAAATACATTTCCCTCTTGAAATTTAGTGAAAAATGTACATTTTAGGAACTCAGAATCTGATCCCAAATCATTCATACTGATGTAAAAACCTCACCTGATTGTATTCATACGTACACTAATGAGAATGAGGACTTGGGCACACGAGGCAGACAGGGCTGAGTGCATCAGAACAGAAGGGTACAGGAAAACCTGGGTATTCCTGTTCCCTGGGTGCAGAACAGGCAGTTTTGGCTGTAATGCTTTGGCCTGTATTTTGCACTAGGTCAGTTCTGTGATCATACTGGTCTCCTCTGGTCTTAATAAACCATGAATCATGCATTTGAAAGTAGAGCTGTAGTCAAAATGGAATGTAGCGATTGTGTAACACCAATTCCTTCTCCAACACTTCTTTTAGTGGGTTTACTGCAGGTCATCTATCAACCCTGTCTTTTCAATCCAGATATATAACATGAGTGATATACAATGCCTACCTCCATAGGTTTCGTGGTAAATCTGCTCATTTGCCTGCAACGAAGTGTAGAACATTGTTAGCTCTTAAGTACAGCAGCAGCAAGCAAAGTTCATATGTTTAAATCAAAGAAAGGAGGTACTGTGATGTGTACCCTTTTAAATCCTTCATGCATGAACGTGTCTCCTCCAGGCACTTCATACTGAAGAATGTCGAGCCCTCGTCTTATGGCTTCCCTTTGGATAAGAGAAAACGGGAGAAAATTTTATTAAAAGTTCTGTTTTGAGATATTCCTGTATCACAGCTAGATTATTTACCCTGTCAGCACACACCAGCTAAAGCATTGGTAAATCCAGGATTTTTAAAAGAACATATTTTTTCAGCCTAACACCCATGGGAGCACAAAACCAGACATATGATGCAATGTTAGGGCTAACGCATTTTAAGGGCGCAATTCTGTCCCTGCTTCTTTCTTCTGGTGCACTCTAAGGCAGGATAAGATTGAATAAAGCAAATGACAAATATTAAACTGATAAACTGCAGATGGAATGAGGATTTAAAAGCTTATGACCCTGTCATGAAAACAGGATGACTAAAAACTCTGTATTCCATCAATCATCAGGATAGTTGGGATTAGGACTTTACCATTAGAAAGACAGAGGCCAAAAGATAAGAGAACAGGATGGGAATGATGACAATGTCCTATCCTAGATCAGGACTAGACATCAGACTGCTTCCTGGTAAGAGACAGACTTTGGTACCAAGACCCCTGTTGTATAGCTTCTTGCTCCACAAATACCTGTTAACCAAGACCATTCAGGGAAATCAGTAATTTAATTGATCCCTGATCACTATAATACCCTAATCTTTAGCAGAGTTTTCACATATGAATGGAACACAAATAAGGGCAAATCACAAAACAAATATTCAACAGACAAGTTGTAGGAAGTCCAAATATCAGCTCACAATGCTATTGGGCACCCTTTTAAAAAAAAAAAAGATAATGAGAGTCTTTCTAAGATCCATTTTGCATCTGGGCATTTTAGGCAGCACAATCTCAATTACAGAAGAGCCTATGTGGGACAAAGGTAAAATGAGGAACTTTGATTGGGGATGTCCTTAAGGCAAAAAGCACATTTTTACCTTTTCAAAGTATAAAATGAGCTGAAAAGGCACATATAGTGACCCATACAGAGAACAGGAGTTTAGGAGAGGGAATGTTTTAATACCAGGCTCAACAAATTGCCACAGGGTTCCCATCTTCTTTCCACCTTGCAAAGAGCAAATCTATCTGGGAGAAGTAGGTAAGTTTGAGGGCTGTCACCAAGGTACAAGATGGAGACCTGAGGCAAAACTCAGTGGAGCCAGCAGAAATGCAAGACCCCGTCAGGGTTCCTGGCTTTCGATGAGGCTCTGGAGTACAAAACGGAGAGAGGAGTCGTTCTTTCAAGACTGCTCCAGAGTCCCCTTTATTTATAGAGTGCACTGTGCTGCTGGGGCCCTCTCACACAGACAGAAGCAGTAGCAAAAGCAAGCGCTTTAAGTTGAAATGAAAAAAAGTACTCGGAAACATCTCCATGACAGGGATTTGTGTGTGAGGCAAATTAAACTGAAAATTAGTTGTGGTTTTTTGTTACGGTTTGAGATTTTTTAATGTGTTTTTCTCTTTTTTTCTGGTGGGTTTTTTGGGTTTTTTGGTTGTTGTTGGTGGTTTTATTTTTTGAGAGGTTTTTTTGGTTGCTTTTTAAAAAAAAACAAACAGAACAAAAAACCAACCAAACAACAACGACAACAAAAAAACAAAAACAAAAACAAAAAAGAAGATTTGGTTGTGGAGATGGCAACAAGAATTTTGCTCCAGCTTCAGACTCCCTTTTTCTTAAGAAGCCTGATGCTTGGCTGTGCAAATCTCTTCTGTTTCAAGACAGCCCAGTAGAGCAGTGTGATGGCCTGGTGAGATAGTGCTCAGGCACTGGGTACAAACAGCTACTGGTCTAAATTTCAGGGCTTTGGGCCGCTTCGAAGCGCACTGTGGGACTTTCACAAAGTCTTTTGCTCATCAGCTCAGCATCAGAGATCTTACACAAAAATTGTCCTTATTTGGGTAGTTGGGGATAGTAAGGATGTACACAAATCCTCAACTGGAAACACAGTTTATCCTTGAAATACAGAAGAACAGAAAACCCAGTGCTGCCTTTCTCTCATAAGGCTGAAAACAAAATGGTAATGAGAGACTTACAGGACTTCTAAGCCCTCTTCCAGTTGGGAATGGTAGAAAGGATTTTAGTTGGTGCTACACTGAGGACCAAGACAGATCTCTGAATTCTGGTTTTGGGGCCACCTGCTGCTCCAGAAGGGATGGTGCATATTTCTGGGTAAAGGATAAGGAGTACTTGCCTGTTTTCTGTTAGTTTCATGACTGTAGTGCCTCGTGAAGAAAAAACAATGAAAGACATCCGCAACATTGGACTGAAACAGAAGAACAAGCCAGATCCACATCACACACACGTGTATTACTCCAGCAGATTTTCATTTGATAAGAAGTAGTGAATGAAAAAAAAAAGTTCTTTATACATAGGAAATTAAAATATCATCTTAAGAAAACTTTACCTTATGAACTTCTCAGCTAGGCTTTCCACAAAAGAGTAAATCTCCGTCCAATGATTTCTGACACTTCCAGACCTGTGTATAAAACATAATTGATCACATTAATCTTATTTCATGCAGAATTCCTTGTTCCAGTCTGAATTTCAAGATACTCCAAAAGTGGTTAGGGACACACAATTTACACAGAGGTCTATGGAGACGAAGCAGTTAACTCTATTGAGGCTTTTACAGCAGTTATGTTGGAAGCTGTAACAGGAACCATCATTACAAAACACACTGACTCAAAGAGAAGTAGACATAGGCCTGAAACAGTCTACCATACAATTTTGAAACAAGCTCAGTAACTCTTCCATCTGATTTTGTTTCTTTCACAAAGTAAAATATAAATATTTTCTTCTAGTTTAATTAATTTTATTTGATTTCACTAAATCATCTGCTAGCAGGTTATTTACTTTCCTAGAGCACAGCTCTGCTCTTGCAGCCACACAGAAAATCTTGACTAATCTTCTATTCTCCCAGAATGCGTGGGAGAATGTTTCCATGAATTACTGTTTGTTTCAAAAGAGAAAGCTTTTGAAGTAATTCAGAAGGGAAAGGCAGTACTCGTAGCTAATTCGCTGGACTAGCATTCTGGACAGTCAATCTCTGGCTCCGTTACAGATTTCTTATGAAAACCCGGGCAACTTAGTTACATGCACAAACTTACACATTCACACTGCCATTCCCAGTACATAAAACTGCATTACTGGCACACCCTGGCTTTTTTCTGCCTAGTCGTAGGGACCCCCACAGTCTGGTGGGACTCAGACCTCAAATAGAGCCTTGCACGCAGCAACTCTACAGTAAATAAGTGATTTCTATCATGTGGATCTATGCCATACACTTTTAAGACATTTAAAAAGCTACAAAACATGAGAAGTCAATGGTTATAAAAACCCTCCCTAGGGCTGTAGTGTTCATGAAAGAATGGCTCATTTGCTTTCCTTGCCAGGCAGGCTCACGTATCAGGTATCTTAGGCAGAAAGATAAATAAAACAACAGCACGTACAGAAGGATCGCAAGGGCTTAGATGCAGAACTAAAAAATTTCTGAAATTTAACTGCTGTAAAGCAGTAGCTCTCCTCTACATGCTGTTAGATATTCTTCTCTGTACATGTATTAAAAAAGTGAGAAAATTATCTCATATTACAATTCTCAGTGCTACTATTTGCTTTCCACGTGACCCTATGCCAGCCATACCTGGCCCAGTATGCCAGGTACAGATCACCATACAGAAGCCCATATGTGCAATACAAAACAGCACCGCCTGTCCTGCAGTGGTGCTGGTGGAGTGGAGAAGAGCAAAGAAAAAAGGGCAAGGACTGAAAGGACACCCCTGAAGTATATAAACTAGAATAAGCTTGCTCTTGTAACCCAGCTTTCACGCTGCTCTTCTGGAGAACTGGTGATTAATTCGCAGAACAAACTGGTTACCAAAGAATGAAGAAGTTGCCAGGCACTGAGGAAGAGTAACAAAGCACCAAACCAAGGGTCTGGATCCTCTGCAGTCTCCAATTTATACGTGGCACACCAACAACATGTTTAAATATTTATGAACAGCACTAATGAGCCCTTTATTAAAAAATAATCCATACTGATGTGAAGCACGTACTTGATGTGACATATGGACGTTAAAGACTCCTTTTCCAAAAGGGATCTGAGGCAGTTCAACACCTGTAATTCTCCAGGATTTTTCTGAAAGTGCCAGGCTAAATCTCTAAACATAATGAACTTGGAGAATTTCCGTGAACCTATGCAAGATGCATTTACGAGTCCCAATTTTTTTTTCCATTCTTTCACCCCCTGGAGTTGACACTTTCAGTTTCATTCTGAGCTTGCCATTCAACTTAAATCCAGTTCCTGCAGTTTCCAATGGAGTCACTTCCCTACATAGAATAGCCACAGTTTCATACTTGGAAAAGACTGACCTATTTTGGTTGAGGCATCAGATTTCTACTGCCAGCTGCAGAGGCACTGATGCAATCCAAAAAAAAGAATGTAGCAACGAATTTGCTTTATAAGAGCAACAAATCATCATTTCCAGTACCTTCTTAGGACTGTCTGAATTACTTCCCTCCCTTTTTTTTTTTCGCTTAATCTACCCTTCAGTCAAAGAACAGCTCGGTAAAACAGCCTAGACACTGAGAACTCAAGAAAATCATAAGCTACTAATGGTGGAAAAATTTGAAGATTTTTTAAAGTGAAAATGCATAGACAAACTTAATGCTATGTGCTCCCATGTACTCTGACTATAATGAAACAGCCCTGCTTGGAAAGGGTCCAGCCAGTGAGACTAAGAATTGACTGTAATTATTGATGATGATAAATAAATTCAGAGATTATCACCTCTGAGAAGCGAGGGAGGTCTCTGGGATGGGATAGGCCTCACGGGAAGGCCTGTGCTCCCAGAAGGCCTGGCTGTGCATCACTGAACCACAACCTTGGTGAGCAGAGGGACTTCAGCACAGCAGTGGCTCTCCTTCTCCCCTAGGAGGAATTCTGCACCCACATGTTGTTTATCAGCTGGCAAGTGTCAAAGTGTCCCAATCCATCAACCAAGAAGTGTCAAAGCCAGATGGAGATGCTAGCAAGAAAATGTTACTGTTTCAAAATCCCATATAGAGAACACCAGCGAAGTAGTCAGCACTTAACCACTTTCACCACCAGACTTCTCCAAGCCCAGGTGTGTCATCTCCAACTGCAAATTATTCCCAAATGCTACCACTGCCAGTCATGTCAAATCCCTCATGAACACCAGTGGGGCTGGCCTGGCTTATAGAAGAACCTGAGTTCCCCTCCCTCTTACCCAAGCTCACCTCTAAATATCCCTGTTTGCAAAGTCTTTTTATTTGCTGTTTCATATATATGTATGTTTTGGAGGCTTCTGGGGTTTGTCCTGATAGTTTTATCTGTTGTCCCAGAGGCCAAACCCAACACCATCAGCAAACAGCCGTTGTAATGGCAGATTAAACAAGATTACAATAATAAAATGTTTGCTAAACTACATACTAAGATGCCAAATGCTGTCAAATATTACTCCCAACACTGACACACAGAAGCTGACCAACACTATTGAAAATACTGCAGTATTTCACTGCTTTTGGGATCTTATCTTTCACACTGCAAAATCACTTTTGCTGCCAGCATAAAGTAGCTTGCTGCCCTTCATGGCTGGATCAGACTACGAGGTTTTTGCCTTGGTTTCCCATGGCAAGTGGAAGGCCCCAAGCATACTTCAAGCTCCTTTCTGACCATGGTCAATGCTTGAAAGCCATACTCATTTTTAATTTCAGTTACTAAGCCTAGAGAAAGCACAGAGTATTTCAGTGATGCTCTACACTACAGGTTATTCTTGGACATCCACAGCATGATTTTTACAGCAGTTTCAGTTCTTTTGTTGTTTCCCTTAGAACTTTACAATAACTAGGAACAAACGCCTGTTAATTCGCATACCTGTGCTAATAGGAGCCTTAGACAGAGTTGGCACATTGTCCCAAGGTGCCACTGGTAAATAACCACAGATTCCTTACCTGGCCTGTTTGGCCACCAAATTATAAACTCCTGCAAGATTTCAGAGGAGCTGTGAAGACTTCTGACTAATCAGAAAAGAATAAATGAAGCATGGCAAAGATCGGTGCTGTTCAGAAAAAGCACTGGGCAAGCGATACACACTCATCCACCCTCACCAGTAACTAGAAGTCATAGGAAAGTGATGCAGCCAGGAAATCCTATATATCCTGTTATGTGGAGGTTTGTACCAGTACATCCACCAAGACAACGCTGTGGCTGTCTGCAAAGAAAGACTATGTTACAACCAGATCTATCTTCTTGGCTCATGCCTTAGAGATTTCCTGCTTTCAGTCATCAGCTACCTGGGTTCAACTTCTTACATCGATCAAAATAGCCACTGTCACCCAGCCAAGTCCCAGGCTCTCCTCACTGAAGCAGCCCAGTGAGCCTGACATTCTCTGCAAAGTACCAACCCCGTGAAGCCAAAGACCCCTGTGGATACTGACCCACAGCTTACAAGCAGTTTGTGTGGCTGTCAGAGCCAAGCAGGACTGGTGAGGTTTCAGTCTTCGGAGGTTACATAATGCTTATGGCAAAGAAAAATGCAAAGCAATTAAACAGCTGCTGTGGGTAGCCAGAGCAGCACAGGAAAATATTTCAGGGCCTGTTTCTCTTGCGAGTATCACTGGGGTGAACTTGGAATGGGTCTAGAGAAACAGCAGAATTTCCTCAGGTTCATAACTGCACCAATGGGATGAGAATAAGTCCCAAGCAAAGTGAAAAAACCCATAGAAGCCATTTGTTGCGAGCATGCTCTCCGCTCCATGAGCTCTATTCCCACTGCACATGAGACAAAGAGAAGAGTCAGCAAACCACAACATAGGAAGGAATGTGCTCCCAGCCTCATCAGGACTCAGCTCAGAGGAGCGGCTGCTGCTGCAGCTCCCGCTTCTACTGTTTTCCTGAATTTCACATTGCTACTGCTGGATGGGAGGGGAAAGAGGAGGTCAGGGAGTATTTCTGGGGGTGGAAGGAAGTGATGTGATTGCAAGGCTTGATTCTGCTCCTGCTTGCTCTGAGTGTCTCAGCGTGACTCTGTCTAGCTTAGTGGAGCTCTATGTCAGTACAAAAACGGTATGTTAGAGTCATGCCTACCCCAGACTGAGGGATTTCACTGCTGTTTGAGAGATAAAAAACCATGAGGTGGGCTGGAAATATATTCTTCTTTTCCAATAGGTTCACAGAGATGGTGGAAGCTGAAGTCCAGAAAAACCAAGCAGGACAACCCTGGCATATGTGGTGCCATTCTCAGCCCAGTTACTTCAGCAGGCAAAAACTAAGAGGGTCAGTTGTAAGGTATCTGTCCTCAGACATACATGATTCACAGTTATAGCTAAGCTCACTGTCTGGAGCCTATACAGATCAACCCAGTGCAATATGCATCAGACCTGCAGCTTAGCAGTGAAAGTATAATACTCCAACACTACCCAAACAATAAATATTTTTATTACCACATGTACACAGAG